GTTGATGACTGAAATACCATATATAGTATATACATGTAAGACATATTGCTATTTGATAAAGGAATTAATAGAATTGATAGAAATTGATCACACCAGCACAAGAACAGGCACTAAGCACCTAATTCGCATAAGTAGCAATCTACCACACAAGGTGCAAACTGTGCAGAGGGGCCAATGCATGATTCAGGAAGGAATGCATATATTGAATGACATTGAATTGAATGGACTAGGCTCTCCCAAATCCAGGTGGAAGATTCCACAGAAGATCATGGAAAGTAACAGGGTTAAGACCCTGTGGGCCTTCCAGATTCAGACACCCAGGCAGGTAATGGCTAATCAACTAGACATTGTAGTAGTTGACAAGCTAGAAGTAAGTGATGGTAATAGATGTAGCTGTGCCAAGTGAAAGCAACATCAGGAAGAAGTATGAGAAGCTGGAGAATTACTAGAAATTGAAGAAGAAACTAAAGAGAATGTAAACTAAAGAGAAAGGTCAAAGTGGTTCCAGTGATGGTAACAGTTCTCAGAACTGTGACTCCTAAACTGGAAGAGTGACTCTATCAGATCCTAGAAATATATCTATGTGTGCACACATGTGATGTGAAGTGATATGGTGTGTGTGTATGTGTGTGTGTGTGTGTCTTTTGTATATTAGTGTAGCAAAAATCCCATTGACCTACACATTGGGAGAACTACCATTATAAAAGAAAAACTATTGAATCAGTTATCAAGATTATGCAGTTATAGCTATACAATTTCATTTTAGGTCACTGTGATCAGAATTACCTCTAAAGAATCAAAGGTGGTGCATTCAGCTTTGATTTCTCAAATTGCCATGCCTGATGTCGAAAAATGTGTATTTTTTCCTTGTGACTCTTAATCTAAAAGGCACCGTTCAGGGGAAAAAAAAATGAAAATTGAATATGGGATTTTTGAAATTTGGTTCATACAAATCATTTATTTTCTGGGAAAGTTTTTATAAAACTGTTTGAAGTATTCCTTCCCTCCACTTTAAAGGCATTAAAGGCATCTTAAATCATCACACTTTAATCTGTAAAAGAAAAGCAAACCAGATATTTACGAATCAGTAGCAGTTTGTTAAGCAATTTATACCAATCCAAAGAGTAACTAGATTCCTCTTGGTTCTAATCTATAATTTTTATATGTTCAAGAATATTTTAGTAATATAATGCTTAATTTGTGCAATTGGTTAAATGGGACCTTTTTTTAATCTACAGTGTTCAACTGAACAGTTATAGAGATAGCATGAACTGAGCTTGTGGAGTGCAACTATGATGGACTCTTCTGAATTTCAAATGCTACAAATGTTTTCTATCACACATGTTTAAATTGACTTTCCGGACCAGTATGCATGTAATGTGAAATACAATGCAAGATAACCAGACTGTCATCACACATTTCATCCTTCTGGGGTTTGGGGAGCTTCATGGTATGCAGATGTTATTGTTCATGTTGTTTTTAATAATTTACATATTTACCATGATGGCCAATTTCCTTACTGTTCTTCTAATTCTGGTTGATCAGCATTTGCATATACCCATGTATTTCTTTTTAGGCAATTTGTCCTGTTTGGAAATGATGTACAGCTCTACAATCTTGCCTAAGATGTTGGACAGCTTTTTAACAGGGGAAAAATCTATCTCTTTCAATGGATGTATTACACAGTTTTATTTCTTTGCTTCCTTGGGTAGCACAGAATGCTATCTCCTTTCTGTGATGTCTTATGATCGATTTTTAGCCATATGTAAGCCTCTACATTATGCTACTGCAATGAAAATTACACGCTGCATCCAGCTGGCTATTGTGTCTTGGATCAATGGCACGGTGTTTACATCTGTATATTTGGTCTTAATGTTACAGCTTTGGTTCTGTGGCCCCAATGAAATTGACCATTTCTTTTGTGAATCCTTACCATTAATAAAGCTATCGTGCAGTAATACTACAGTTGCAAAATATACCATTGCAATCCTGGCTTATACATTTACATTTCCTCCTTTTATTTTGACTTTTATGTCTTACATATTTATATTAAGGACCATTTTGAGAATACCATCTAGAATTGGGAGACAAAAGGCCTTTTCTACCTGTTCCTCTCATTTGATTGTTGTGTCTTTTTTCTATGGGGCAATAACAATTGTATACCTGATGCCCGAAACTGAACAAATGAAAAATTATACCAAATTATTTTCTCTGTTATACACAGTGCTTCCCTCACTACTCAATCCCCTAATATACACATTGAGAAACAAGGCCATCAAAGAAGCCCTGAAGAAGCTATTTGGTAGATTTTGGAAAAATAGGTTTTTACCATGTGTTTGAAAGAGATGCAATAATGTACAGGTTTGCAGTTAATGGGGCAGCTCAATATACATTTTCAATGTGCAGTTGGATAGCTCCATATTTTGAACTAGCATTGTTATTTGAATTTCTCCTTCTTAGACACATTAAGAATAATCATATATTATAGCTTTATCAGTTAGATTTCATTAGAATCAAAATTTAAAAAAAACCCACTTTTGACTTTTCTTGATTTTTTTTACCTGCTTTTCTCATATCATGATTGTTCATATTATGGGAGTGATAAATTGATTTCTCTGCAAGCCAAGGTTTGACATATACTGCTATCACACCATGCTGAATACCTTTATCTACAGCTTAAGAAACAATGAAATCTATAAAGGAGTCAGAGGATTATGTGTGAAATAATTAAAGGAATATTGTTCCAAAAGAAACAATGTAGAGGCATTTTAGATAGTATGAATTATTATATGGGAATAATCTATAGAATTACTAATAAAAGCTCTTAACAATATGTATATATTGTTCAAATTCAAGCATTATTTGAATATATTAAATTTCCTGTAAGAAATCACAAACTTGCTGACATTTAATACAATCATCTAGTGCAGGGGTGTCAAACCCAAGGGTGCTTAAATCCAGCCCATGGGCTGGCCTGGAAATATCATTTTAGCCTCTGGTGGCTAAAATGAACTGTGTGTGCCCCCTCCTGGTGCCTCCATGGCTTTCTGCAGCACTCTACCAGCCAAAAATGTGCCCCAAAATGGACCAAAAATGACGTGAAAAATGAACTGAAAATGGCCAATAATGGGCAGTGCTGCCCAGCTTAGGCCAGCAGAGTGCTACAGGCCATGGAGGGCAAAAATGAGGTGCAGGGGGGATGCATGCAGACCCCCCCCTGCCCCATTTTGGCCAGCAGGGTGCTTCAGGAAGCATTTGTTCTGCCCTCACACCTCCCTCCCACCCTTCCCCCCCCTCCGCCAGCCTGCAGAGGAGAACTACAATACTGATCCGGCCCTTGATGAAATCTAGTTTGGCACTCCTAACCTTGTGGAATAAGGGGAAATGGTATATTTCTCCAATAGATTCAATTCATAGGATTTTTCTGGGACAATATTGGTTGCACTATGAAATTAGGATTGGAAGAATAACTTACACCATTAATAGCAGACATTCTTGGGGAAAAAACAGGCATGTTGTTTTCATTCATTCTCTCACTTCATGTGTGAGTTAAATGCAGAGGTGGGATTCAACTGGTTTGCACCAGTTCGAGTGAACTGGCTGTTAACTTTTTGCCCAGTTCAGATTACTGGCTAATCCCACCTCTGGCTGTCCCCGCCCCACCCTCCACCTCCCATCCCAGGAGTCCCCCAGCGCAACCTGTTTTGGCTTCCAGGGTGGTACAGGAGGACTTCCAGGCCCAAAATGGGGCATGGGGCTTCATGTGGGTCCCCCTGCACCACATTTTAGATGCCTGGGTGCTGCAGGAAAATAGTTGGGAAAGAAAATAGGGAAGACACTAGTTGGGAATACAGGCACAATCTGAAGAAAAAGAATTAATCAGGAAAGTATTTTTTCAAAAAAGTAGTTGGCCAAAGAAAGTGCAGGGAATTTTTATTTTCTTCAGCAAAGAAATAACTGCATTAATTTTCACCATTAGGTATTTTGTGATTTTAGCCAGGATTGCTACTATATTGACCTGCATACTTTTCATATTTAACTCTTAGCCCAAAAATGGAAATAGAAGAAAATTCTGCAAGAAGCTGGGTGATTTTAGTTTATAAATTAAACCTGACTTTGGCTTTAATTCCAACTAGCATATGAACAATGAAAAGTTGGTTTTTCAGAAGAGTTGGTTTTATTGGATGTTTTATGGGGTTGTACATTACGTGATATTGTTCTGAATAAGATACAAAACAGACCTGTTCATATTAATTAAAAAAAAATCTCATGAATTCCCAATGGTGCTTTCTTCCAGGAAACTGATACTTAAAGAGAAGGGCCTACAGGAGAAATATGTTTTGTTTATTTATTTATTTTCTTACTTAGTATCTTTGATAGAAACAGTATGCAATAATGAATATAAAGAAAAAAGACACTTTTTTCAAATATATTAAAATATATACATTTGAATCATAATTACATATTTATGGTTTACAGATTTCTGTCCTATAATTTGTTGTGAAGCATGGATTTTTAAGAATGCTACCAAAATTTATATCAGTATACTTTATTTGATTTACAATGGCTTTCTGGTTCTCCTCCATGTCATTCAGATCCTGCTTCCTTCTAGACCTTAGAACTGTATCAGTGAGAAGAAAGTCTCTTCCAAGCATTTGATAGCATTCTAGCTTTCTAAATATATATAACTGTCATATATTTGCCTTCATGTGTACCAGGAGGATGGAAATATACCATCAAAATATGCTAAATATGCTGAGAAAAATATATAACACTTCCACATAAGTTCCTAAGTGGTCTTTTCAGAGCAGAATGAAGCAATTTTAAAGTCTAAGACCAGGCTATTTTTGAAAGGTCTCTGAATAAGTGATATAACCTAGGATAAGCTTTTATGTCTTAGAATTCTCCTCAGTGCTCCTTTCATTTCATAGTTCCTCAGAGCATAGACAATGGGGTTTAGCATGGGAGTAAGTACTGCATAGAACAGAGATAGCGTTTTTTTAAAGTTCTGGTGAATAGGTGGAATTGGGCCTTAGATAAACAATGCTCTCACTTCCACAAAATAGTATCACCACAATTAGATGAGATGAACATGTAGAGAAGGCTTTTTTCCTGCCTACTGGTGAAGGAATTGTGATGATGGTGATGATGGTGCGGGTGTAGGAAATCAAAATCAGCACAAAAGGAAACATAAGGAATACAAGTGTACAGACTATGGCTTGAATTTCAAAAAAAGAAGTATCAGCACAGACTAACATCAATACAGGAGGGGCATCACAGAAGAAGTGATTAATCTTTTTCATGCTACAGAATGGAAGGCTGAAGATCCAGGCTGCCTGCTGCAATGACACAAGAATACCAATCAGCCAAACTCCACCAACCAACTTCAGACAGAAGTTCCTGCTCATGATATTGGTATAGTATAATAGGTTGCAGATGGCAACATAATGGTCATAAGACATGGCAGTTAAGAGGAAACGCTCAGCACACCCAAAATAGAAGAAGCAAAACATTTGAACTGCACAACCTGTATAGAATATACTTTTATTTCTCAACAGTAAGTTAACCAGCATTTTGGGGATTGTATCTAAAGGGAAGCATATCTCAATGAAGGATACGTTTCTTATAAAGAAGTACATAGTGACTGAAGAGCTAGGTCTTTTATAGATATAAATATGATTAGGATGTTTCCAGTCATTGTAACAAAGTACATCACCAGGACTATTGGAAATAGAAACAATTCAATATTTGGCATGTTGGAAAACCCAAAGAGGATGAATTCCATTTGAAATGTTTCATTTCTCCACTTCATTTCTTCCAGATGATTTTATAGGATTAGATACTAAGAGAAAAGATATAAGCATTCAACATAGATTTTAAAGAATACATATATAATGAATTTACAATATATTTTCACACTCTGGCCAAAAAACTTATTTTTCTAAGAATATTTCAATCTTCACATCTCTTTTAAATTTCCTATCTCCCATTTGTTGTTATGTAACATTTTCACCATGCTTAATTATTTTAGGTCTCATGTTTGTAATATATTGCTATAGTCCCCAAATAACTTGAAGTCCAGCATTAATATGACATGTACAATGAATTAAGATATTTTAGAAATACTACAGACTATATAGTATTTCTAAATATTATAGTATTTAGAAATAATACTAAAATAATACTATATTATAAGATATAGTATTATTATAGTATTATTTCTAAATACTATAATAGACATTTCATCTGTAAAATCGTGAAAGAGAAAATTGTAAGGCATTAAAAGTCTATCAGGAAAATATTAGAGTGATGCAGCTCAGCTTTTACTCTATGAAGAATTATAAAATCGGGTACAAGTTTTGATTCAATATAAAAGGATTATGGAATATTGTGAATATTTAAATGCTATTTAAAAAGTAAAATGTCAATTTAGGTTATTCAGTAAAATTGTATTCTCCCCCCTTTTTTTCTTGTACCTCAAACTTAGCAGTGAGAAACAATTTTAGATAAAAAATAACTATCTATATCTATATCTATAAATATATATCTATATATATATCTATATATCTATCTATTTGTTTTCTGAGGTTCTCGTGGGTATTTGTATGTGGATCTTTGGTTGTTCGGGTTTTCTCCCGCATAAGATTCGAAGTATCTAGGCAACGTTTCGATGAAATCTCATTCATCATCTTCAGGCTTCTGTCTCCGGCTCTGTGCTTCTCTCAGATGATGAATGAGACTTCATCGAAACGTTGCCTAGATACTTTGAATCTTACGCGGGAGAAAACCCGAACCAAAGATCCATATCTATCTATATATCTATATCTATCTATCTATCTATCTATCTATCTATCTATCTATCTATCTATCTATCTATCTATCTATCTATCTATATTCTGTCCCACCTGTATCCACAGGTGAGAATCTCAAGTTACAGAGTTCAAATACTTTACGCAAACAAAAATCAGAGACAGAAGATTCAATTGCTCTGTTATCACAGTCCTTTGGCAATCCTCCTAGAATCTGTCTGGCAATTCTGTATAGTTCATAAATCAGACTCACTTCTTTCCAAGGCAAAATCCACTTTGTTTCCAGCAAAAATTACGAACTTGTACGCTCCCTTATATCCTCTGAGAGAGGGCGTGTCAGTCTCATTAATTAATCCTTTGTTGGATGTCTCTTTTCCAATTGAGATTGACGTCTCAATCTTCTCCTAGTTCTGGCATCCAGCCAGCATCCGGCAGTTTCATCACGGCTCGAAGCCTCTGACACACTTTCCTGATTAACAGTTAACACCTGAGGTGCAATCAGGGAGGGAGTTCCAGAAGAGGAAGACGTCTCTGAAACTTCTAATAAATTAGGCTCATCTCTCAGATTCAACTCCTTCTCTTCCCCCAGACTCCTCTCAACGTCGCTCAGCAATGCAGGCTCGAATCTCA